CATGCCAGACAAGCGCGCTACCACTTGAGCCACATCCCCAGCCCTCAAATGCTATCTTTGATTCCACCAAGAGGGATACAACCCCAGAGTGAGGAGTATCTCCAATCTGTCATAGGAAAGTACCTTCTCCCAAATGCTGAAAGGCAAAACCTCAACCTTACCTGGAGGAGCCAAGGCCAAGGAATTATCTTGCAGATCCTGCAACAAGGCACCCACATCTATAGCACGGGGGCGGGGAGGTCTGCGAGCCAAACCAGGTCTCCTCACTGACTGTGGCTTAAGAGGTGTAGCAAAAGTCAGGTTGAAGGAGCTGGTGGTAGGGAGGAGGCAAGAGGAAAGTCAGGTACGTGAGGCCCAATGTCCCCAAAGGAATGCCCCTATCTGCCCTTGGGGTTCTCATCTTTTAGAATGTAGTCACAAGTGTGTGAGGCTAGAACCAGCAGGGATCATATAGCTAGATTCCATCAGTAAGAACCTCTCTCCCCAAGCCTCTACTCAATCAACCCCCAGAACAGGAAATAATACCTGGTAAGGGATGGGGCATCAGCATTTTCAGGATGCTCTGTCAGTGACCAGAACGAAGATGTAAAAAGAAGAAATCACGGTAAATTATTAGAATCCATGAATGCTCTCCCTCAGGCCTCCTTAAGCCTCTTCAGAAAACAGGAGGCAGAGGACAGCAACAGGTGGTATCCTAGGCCTTACCTTGCAAGTGAGGCAGGCCCTGGTCTACTTCCTGCTGAAACACTGACAATYTCAACCTCTGCTTCTTCCTGTCAGAGGCTGGCAGACCTGCAGCCAGGGTTGTGGGGGGCTCAAGTTCAGGAAGTTGTAGCTCCAGGCTATGAGGACAGATCTTATCTCAGACAGGCAAGGAAGCCCAACTTTGGCATTTGGAGCCAAGAGGTGCCCAGACCAGAACAACTCAACAGCCCAGCCCAGGAGGAAAGTTCACTGTGTACCTGCCCTGACTGCTTTCCCTTCTGGAGGGTTGGACCACCTGCAGTGCTGGCACTGGCTTCACTACGGCCTCTGGTGTGAGGATGGAAGATTTTGGGGCTGCAGAATAGAACAGCAGAGGCTTCCTTGAATGAGGGCTAGCACAGGACTGGTGCCTATCTCTGCCTGGCAGATCAGTGCCCACTCACCAGTTATTAGGATGTTCTCTACCAGAGTCCGGGGTGTCTGTTCCTTTAGGTTACCAATGACTTGAATGTGGGCCAGTCTGCCAATAGACTATGGGTGAAAGCATCATGCAATTAGTCTTTTTTTTTTTTTGCCTGGGGAGTTCTTCAAGATGGGCTCCAGAAATAGACCTGATAGCCCCAAGAAGGCAGTCTGGGGGGCTGGGGATGTGGCTCAAGCGGTAGGGCGATCGCCTGGCATGCGTGCGGCCCAGGTTCGATCCTTAGCACCACATACCAACAAAGATGTTGTGTCTGCCAAGAACTAAAAAATAAATATTAAAGAAATTCTCTCTCTCTCTCTCTCTCCTCTCTCACTCTCTCTTTAAAAAAAAAAAAAAAAAAAAAAAGAAGGCAGTCTGGGCCCTATAGTCATCAGTGGACTGGGCACTTACCCTGACTCCATGGGAACGCTGTTTGGCAGATGTCTTTGTTCTGCTACTCAGCCTCCTGGAGGAAGATGTTTTAAGTAGGGCTCTCTGGGCACTGTGTAAAGACCAATTTTCTAAGAATTATGTAMGGGAATTAAAATGACAGGCTATATGATGCAGAGACATGCTTTCACCAGGGGTCTTGGTTTAAAGCCCTTTTCTCTTAGAGATAAGAACCAGAAACCACTTGAGCCTTCCATAGCCTCTGTGTCAAACAGTATGTATGTGAAAGAGAACTATTAGGTATGGGAAGAAAGGGACCATGACTGATCCAGAGGGGTACTGAAGAAGCCTTCACAAAGTGACTTTAGCAGAACCATAAAGGATAAGTTGGGATTAGCCATACAGACAAGAGGAATAATCGGAAGAGCTTCCATTCCAAACACTTTTAAAAGTCTGAAGGTTATTTAAGTATTTTTAACCCTTTTGATTACTTGTCAGGGTCTGATGGGAGACTAAAATGGGTCAACCAATTCTGTCTCCCCAGTCCAGTAACTCTCAGAACCACATAAATATTCCCTGAGCACAGGTTCTATCTCATCACTCATAGGTAAAAAAATCTATCATAAATGACTTCCCACTCCTTTATAAGGGAAAGGACTGAACTGTCTCAAATTCCCACTTATGCACCCTCTGCCCCATGAGATCACCACAACCCTCTCCCAGGGTCACTCCCTCCAAGTCAGGACAAATTCCTGCTCCCTAGTAAAACATCTTTCTAGTTCCTGTCTCCCGACTTTTGCGAAGGCTGTTCTCTCTAGTTTCGTTCCCATCTTTCAGCTGGGAGCTGCAGAGTAGGGCTGAATGTGCAGGAAAAGGTGGGGACCACCCGGAAGGCAAGAGCAGATGTCTGGACACACCCTGGGTGGTGTAGGCCAAAAAGCCTAGAAAACTTAGCAAGTATCCTTCTGACTCCAGAAGTGGAAGACTCCGAGAGTGCACTCTGTGGTCCCGAGGCCTGGTTGCCTGGAGTTCCAGGGTAGGGGCACAAACAGCTTGGCCGAGCCAGGCTAGGGGAGTGGAGCAATTCTCGGTGCCCAAAGCTCTGCTTCTCTCTGGGACTGTTGCCCTCTCCAAAGGGGGTTGATGTTGGCTCCCACCAAGACCCCACTCCCGGGTCCTTCTAATTGCGTCGCCTTCCCATACCCAGCCCCGGAACTCCGGGGTCGCCGTGGGGTACGCGAATCCGCGTTATCCAGCACGCGCTGCAGGACCGTGCGAATAGTAGGCTCGCTGTCCCAGTTGTCGGCCATCCTCACCGCCTCCGGCTTTCGCAAACGCACAGGAAGCTGCCGATACTGCGTTCCCGCCGCCGCATTTAAGGAAGATATCGCGATGCTTCCGCACAGCCCCACGGGAATTGAAGTTTTCGCCTTACCAGAGGTGCGCCGCGCGAACCCGGGTGATTGCTAACTGTAGCTTTGGAGGCAGCCTTTCCAAACGTAAGGCTGGGCAACTGTATGCTCCACTCCAAATTTTGGTTTCCTCATCTATAAGACAAGGYTGAAACCCACCTAATAAAGATTCGTGTCGGGACGGGTGTTGGGGACTGAACCCAGGGGTGCTCCTACCGCGGAGCTACATCTCCAAGCCCTTTCTAAAATTTTGATTCAGAGTCTCACTAAATTGCTGAGGCTGACTTAGAATTTKCGATCCTTCGGTCTCAGCCTCCTAAATCGCAGAGATTACAAACGTGCGCCACCTCGACTAGTGAATAGGCATATTTGTGTTTGTTATTAAAACAAAACAAAACGTGTGATAACCCACATCGGTAATACCAGTAATTCAGTAGGGAGACTAAGAAAGATGGCCAGTAAGTCAGCCTCGGCAATTTAGCGAGACCTTATGAAACATAAATAAATWAATTAATTAACTAATTGCTGGGATCCGGGAGCGGTGACGCATTCCTGTGATCCCTGAGACCTGGATCGCAACTTCCAGACCAGCCTAGCAATTTAACGAGCCAATTTAGTGAGACCCTGTCTCAAAATAAAAAATAAAAATGACTGGGGATGTAACTCAGTGATAAAGCACCCTTGGGCTCAATAAGTACCAAAAAATAAAAAGTGCTGGGCTGGGATATTACTCAGCGGTTACTTTACCCCTGGGTTTCATCCCCAGTATTTAGGGGTGGGGGAGTGGGRAAGGAGCAAAGAAAAATTAGATTCTAGTTTCTGAAAATAATAGAACTGCCTGGCCTGGCGGGTGCAGCACACCTGTAATCCCAGCAATTTAGGCAGGAGGATCACAAATTCAAGACCAACCTGGATAAATTAGTGAGACCTTTTCTCAAAAAAAGTAGGAAAGGCTGGGGTTGTGGCTCAGTAATAGAGCACTTGCCTAGCACGTGTGAGGCACTGGGTTTGATCCTCAGCAACACATAAAAATTAATAAAATAAAGGTATTGTGTCCATCTACATCTAAAAAAAATTTTTTTAAACTGTAAAAGGAAAGCATACCAATATTCCTTGCTTTAAAAAAAAATATTTGTCATTTATGCCTGATCTCTTTGCTATGTGACTTTTTTTTTTCAATAGTGGGGATAGATACCAGGAATGATCTACCTATGAGTTACATTCCAGTCTTTTCTAACGTTATTTTGGAAAATAAAAAAAAAAAAGGGGGGGGAAAGGTATTATCCATAAATCCCCCTGGGGTTGGCCTCAAACTTTTGATCTTCCTGCCTCAGCCTCCCACGTACCTAGGATTACAGGTGTGCACAACAATGTCTGGCTATCTGACTTAACTTGCTAGGTCTTTGCAGTCACATTTTCATGGTCACTACCAAACACCTAAGCCCAGGTTTTTGTTATTTTTTATTTATTTTTAAAG